TGCGCGTCCGTCAGCGTCCTTCGGAACAGGTTGTCCGCCAGGACCCTTTCCAAAGATGACCTTCAAATCCTTGACCATATCATGTACATCAGCCCCCGTACGGTGGCTGTGACACTCCAAAAATTTTGTGGTTTTTGTTTTCAGAAAGAGCCTTGCTTGGTTTAAAGAAGGTCATTTAAATCCTTCTTAAAAACCTCTCTTCTGAGTTTGCCCTCTAAAATTTTTTTCTTGGATTTAGTTTCTTCTAAAAAGAAAACCTTTTTGGTTTTGGGCTTTTCTTTGGTTTTGATCCCTTCCTGTTTTACCATGCATCTTATGGTAAAATTCTCCCAAAACCCCTCCTTCCACTTTGGGACAACCCAAACATGCTGTCCCAACTAGTTAAATCCATTTTTGGATTTTATTTCATTTATTTCTTTTCCCAAAACAATTCTGTCCTTTATTTTGAGCCTAGGTAATTTGCAAAGCAAGTACCTTAATGCCTTTGAACTTTGGTCTCAAATCAACTCCTCTGGATAGTCCTTAGCACCCACAATCTAGAACCATCAAGATCCACTCTTCTTCTTTTCAAAATTTTCAAATTTCACCCTCTGCAAGTTTGGACCAGATTTGTAAAATTTGGTGAAACTCATATCTCCACTTCTCCGAAAATTCCACCAAAATTCAGGCAACCCCCAGTTGCAATGAGAGACCACTCCACCAAAAACCAGCTTAAGGAAAAATCCCCACATGCCAAAATCATTCTGTCGAACACCTGGCCTGCACTGTTACTGTACATCTTCAGAAAATTCAGTAAGTGCAGTGTCGTTTCTTCGTCAGAGTTCAGTCACAAGCCGACTGTGCGCCTGGCGCGTTGCGCGTGGCTCCTCCTCCCTGTCCGGAGCACCACACGCGCGCTTGGCTCGTTCCTGGCGTCGGTGGCACCCTGGCCCGCCTGCGCCGGCGTCTTCCGCGGCGGCAGAACCTCCCGTGGCGGCCGACAGGGAGCACCCTGCGGCATAACGCCGTTCGGCACCGCCCAAATCATCTGAGAGCTCCGCGTGGCCATCTCCCTTGCCAGCGCACGCATGCAGCACCGTCGCCGTGGCCTGGCACGCAAAGGGCGCGCTCTCTGCCGCCGACGTGCCGTACGGCCGTTCCGTCGGGGACAGGCCGTAACCACCCTTGCCATGTTGGGTTAGGCACTGGGATGGAACCAGTGATCCGTCTAGAGGATGCTCAAGCCCTTAAACCAGCTGTCCAGCCACAGCGCCGCCGTAATCGCTCGCCGGACTTATCCCGTTCACGGCAACCGCCTCGGGCCGACTATAAATAGCGCCTTCGAGCTCGCTCTCGCCCCCGCACAACTCCATCACCTCACCAGACCCCGCCCAGCCACTGGAAGAGCCTTGAGGGGCCCTTCTTCCTCCACTCCAGCCACCTCCGTCCGCCTCGGGCTTCAGCAGCGTTCTCTCCGGTGAGAACTCCTCCAC